CTTCTAGCAACATCCGAACCTTGCCCCGCCACGGTTCAGAACTCAGAACTCGCTAAGACAGGCAGCGGCTTTCGTAGACCCACCACTTGCAAAAGGCCCTTGCGAGCACCTTCCTCAGAGCACCCACGCGAACATCAGGGATATGCAGACGCCGAGGGGACGGAAGAAAAGAGCGGAATGCAGCAACAGGGGGAATGTTACATCGCAGAGTGCCAACAGACGTTCACGCGGCAGTGCGCATCAACGTACAAGGACACACCCCGAACAAATTAGCCTGGCGAAGGACCCAACCATATGCAGCTGTGAGTACCGCTATTGTGAACATCTTCTTCGGTGGCGAGCCCTACGGGGCCGCGAACCGTGCGAGGGGGGTGCCGACATGTGTGGCCGGGTGCACGATACGAACGGAAGACGAAACGGAAGACGATCGGCCTGAGTATGAAATCTTGAGCGCGGGTGAGTCTGAGCGGGAGTGAGTCTGAGTATGAATGAGTCTGCGTGCGATTGATTCTATTTGCATGACTGCGAGCATGGATACGCCTAGTGTAAATGTCTCCGAGTGTGAACTCGCGACACTGAATGTAGCCTCCGCAGTGAGCTTCCTTGGGAACCCCGACGGCAGCGCCCGCGCGCCGCGACGCCCATGTCGGCACGCCCCACCGAGGATCGCGCCCGCTTCATCTCCTCATGTTCCTTCCGCTTTGCCCGCGCACTCCAAAGTCCAAGGCTGCGGGCGCAGCGCAACGCGGAGCCCTCGCGACGCGCGCAGGTCGCCCCGAAGGGGTCACAGTGACGCGCGCGGTTCGTCCGCTGTGCAGGGCAGACAGCGCTTGCTGGCTAACTGATAGCGCGCCTGGCTCTGGCCGCTGGAAAAGCGGCGAAGGGCGGGCGAGGCGCTGGGCAGAGCGCAGCGCGGAGTTTGCGCGACGCGCGCTGATCGCCCCGAGAGGGCCCCAGCGACGCGCTGAACACGGCCACTGGGGCCTTCGGTGGAGCTCCTTATGGGGCCACGAAGCGTGCGAGGGGTGTGCCGCAATGGGTGCGGCGCCGCCATGCCAACGCCGCCACTGGGGCCCTCGGCGGAGCTCCCTATGGGGCCACGGAACGTGCAAGGGGTGTGCCGAAATTTGTGCGGCGCCGCCATGCGAACGCAGCCACAGGGGCCCTCGGTGGAGCTCCCCATGGGGCCACGAAGCGTGTGAAGGTGTGCGGAATTGGGGGGGTGCCGCCATGCCAACGCAGCCGTTGAGGCCTTCGGTGGAGCTCCCTATGGGGCCACGAAGCGTGTGAGGGGTGTGCCGACATGGGTGCTGCGCCGCCATGCCGACGCAGCCACTGGGGCCTTCGGTGGAGCTCCCTATGGGGCCACGAAGCGTGTGAGGGGTGTGCCGAAATGGGCGCGGCGCCGCCATGCCACCGCAGCCACTGGGGTTCTCGGTGGAGCTCCCCATGGGGCCACGCAACGTGTGAAGGGTGTGCCGACATGGGCGCGGCGCCGCCATGCGAACGCAGCCACAGAGGCCTTCGGTGGAGCTCCCTATGGGGCCACGAAACGTGTGAGGGGTGTGCCGAAATGGGTGCGGCGCCACCATGCCAACGCAGCCACAGGGGCCTTCGGTGGAACTCCCTATGGGGCCACGAAACGTGTGAGGGGTGTGCCGAAGTGGGTGCGGCGGCGCCATGCGAACGCAGCCACTGGTGCCTTCGGAGGAGCTCCCTATGGGGCCACGAAACGTGCGAGGGGTGTGCCGAAATGGGCGCGGCGCCGCCATGCCAGAGCTGCCACTGGGGCCTTCGGTGGAGCTCCCTATGGGGCCACGAAGCGTGTGAGGGGTGTGCCGAAATGGGTGCGGTGCCGCCATGCCAACGCAGCCATTGGGGCCCTCGGTGGAGCTCCCTATGGAGCCACGAAACGTGTGAGGGGTGTGCCGAAATGGGCGCGGTGCCGCCATATCAACGCAACCACTGGGGTCCTCGGTTGAGCTCCGTATGGGGCCACGAAACGTGTGAGGCGTGTGCCGGTATGGGTGCGGTGCCGCCATGCCAACGCAGCCACTGGGGCCCTCGGTGGAACTCCCAATGGGGCCACGAAGCGTGTGAAAGGGTGTGCCGAAGTGGGTGCGGCGGCGCCATGCCAACGCAGCCACAGAGGCCTTCGGTGGAGCTCCCTATGGGGCCACGAAACGTGTGAGGAGTGTGCCGACATGGGTGCGGTGCCGCCATGCCAACGCAGCCACTGGGGCCTTCGGTGGAGCTCCCTATGAGGCCACGAAACGTGTGAGGGGTGTGCCGAAATGGGTGCGGTGCCGCCATGCCAACGCAGCCACTGGGGCCCTCGATGGAGCTCCCTGTGGGGCCACGAAACGTGTGAGGGATGTGCCGAAATGGGCGCGGTGCCGCCATGCCAGCGCAGCCATTGGGGCCCTCGGTGGAGCTCCCCATGGGGCCACGAAGCGTGCGAGGGGTGTGCTGACATGGGCGCGGCGCCGCCATGCCAACGCAGCCACTGGGGCCCTCGGTGGAGCTCCCTATGGGGCCACGAAGCGTGTGAAGGGGTGTGCCGAGATGGGTGCGGTGCCGCCCTGCCAACGCAGCCCCTGGGGCCCTCGGTGGAGCTCTCTATTGGACCACGGAACGTTTGAGGGGTGTGCCGAAATGGGTGCGGCGACGAGGGAGGGGGCAGCGGGAGGAAGGAAGGAGTGAACGCGGGGCGCTGTCTCTTCAAAACGGGGACCCAACACCACAGGATGGTTGGGAAATAATGTTACCAGTGACGACGTCACAGCGATGTACCAGGTAGCCACGTTCTATCTAATTACAGAATTTTGACCAGGAAACCGCAAACACTAGACATACGTAGCGCATGCGGCGACAGTAGCCAGGACCAAAGCCAGAGCGTCCCAACATGGACGCGAAATCAATGTAGGTCAGAGGCTGCAGCACGTCATTGCTGTGGACAGCGTACTTCGTCCGAGGCTGGCGCGATACACGCGATTCCGCACTGCGCACACCCCTTGGTGTGCAAAATATTTCGACTGCACACAGGGCTGGCCCGCTCTCGTCCCCGAACCGTCAGAAGCCAACCAGCACATCACCCGGTCTTGGACCTCCTTGTTGTAGTCGAGCCTCGCGCGGCGACACACGAAGGGTTGCGAGGCACGCTCAGTCCCGCGCGACGCCCACTGCTCCAGCAGTCCTTGCCTCAGGGGCGAAGGCGGCCTCGGCGCGCCCGTCGGCTGCCGCAGCCTGCGGCGTCGGCATCGGCAGGGCAGTCATCCCCTGCGGGGGAGCCCTGATTCGGGCGGCGGCCCTGGCTCGGGCTCCTCCTCGCTCCACGCTCCTCGCTCCTCGCTCCACGCTCCTCGCTCCACGCTTCACGCTCCACGCTCCACGCTCCTCGCTCCTCGCTCCTCGCTCCTCGCTTCCTCCTCCTCCTCCTCCTCCTCCTCCTCGTCCTCCGCCTCGACTCAGCCGTCGGCGCTCACCCACTCCTCGTCGCCCCGCCTGCTCCGATGCACCAAATTTGAGATCGCGGAGGGAGAGGCCCTTCGGGTCCGCCATCGGCACGTCGCACACGTGCAGGGCGGCGGTACTGCGGAGCGCCTCCTCGAGATGGGTGTACGCAGGCGCGGTGCCTCGCCTCCTGGCGCCGTTCTCCCCGGCCAGGATGGGCAAGATGGCCTCGACTCTTCATTGCACCTCGGGATCGGCATCCCAGCAGCGTCGCGTCCCCAGCAGCTCCTGAACGCGGGCGGTCTCCTCCCGAGCAGCGCCCAGCTCGTTTCCTAGGCGGTTCACCCGTCGGTCTCATGCCTCCCGGGCGAGTGCCCGTCGAGCGCGTCGATCTGCTGGCGTACCCCGTGGGTGTGATGTGCCACACCTTCCCGTAGTCATGCTCTCAAGCCCCACCGATGAATCCCGCTGCACAGGCCCAAGGAGCCATGCCGACCAGGCGTGAGCCGCGGGGTGTCGTTCGCTGCCGAGCGGTTTCTGCCAAGATGGCCTGAACCAGAATGGCTACGGCCCCCGCCACGGCCGTCCGCCTCCTCCTCCTCCTCCTCCTCCTCCTCCTCCTCCTCCTCCTCCTCTACTTCCTCCTCCTCCTCCTCCTCCTCCTCCTCCTCCTCGTCCTCCATCTCCCTCCTCATCGCCCCAACCTTCTTCCAGGCCTCCCGACGGGGGTCCGAGCAGATGAAATCGGACTGTCGCACCGCATTGCCGATGCGTCGGCATTGCGGCTCGGTGCGGAGTCAGACTTTCGGCACGCCGATGTCGCCGATGCACCGCCGACGCTCCCTATGCATCGGCGATGCGGCGCGATGCTCCGACCCCATGTGTTCGGAGCCCGTGATGGAGGCCTTCGCTCCTGACCTCTCCCCTCCCGTCGTGATTGTTCTCAGGAGCGAAAAAAGCACACAGACACGATTTGTCGTCGATTCCCCTGAACATATGGGAAAACATGGGAAGTGGGGGGGAAGACGAGAACCCAGAAAAAAAAATGGGGGCATCCTGTGATTTGTATGTGTGTGCCTGTGATGTGTGTGTGTCTATTTGCGTGCCCCAGGGCCCCTTCATGTTCCTTCGTCTGGCAGTCAGGACGCATGCCCACACTCCTCACGAGGCCACGGCTCCCTCCCACCCGATCCCCGTAAGGCTCGGACGATTCTCCGCACGGGTGGTGCGGTCGCTCGCAGCTCCTGCTCCTCCCTGTCCTCGTCGTCTTCCCCCCCCTCGCTCCCTGCATCCGTCCCTCCTCCTCCTCGTCCTCCTCCTCCTTCCCTCCTCCTCCTTTTTTCCTCCTCCTCCTCCTCCTCCTCCTCCTCCTCCTCCTCCTCCCCCTCCTCCTGCTCCTCCTTCCCGTTCCCTCGGCACTGGCGCCTCACAAATTATGCAAGAAGCGACATGAGAAGATGATGGATCATGTTGGGATTCTAGTTTTTATTATATCCCCACCATTCAGGAGGGGAGGGGCCGGCGCCGCCACCGACACTCCGGCGCAGGACTGCACCATGCTGGAGGGCCAGTACGAGTCGAAGGCCGCTCGGGGAGCGGGGGCGCTTCCTGCCTGCAGGGTCTTTCGAGGCACGAGCGGGTACCGGAGGGTCGTGCCGATCCGTCGATGCATCGGCGATGCGGCGCGGTCCTCCGACCACCTTTCCTCGGACCCCATCTAATAGGCCCCATCGGACGGGGCTAGGACGATGATAAATCCGTTCCAGAGCGTTCCGACGCTCTCAGAGCGTTCCGTTACCTTTCTGAGAAGGCCGCGGCGCTCGATACATCCTCCAGATCCGCCGGATCTCAGAGATTCTCCAGTCATCCTCACCCGAATTCATCCTCGCCCTGGCTTCGTCTTATCTCATAGTCAAGGGATGTGCATGACGCATCCTCGCGCGGAAGCCTCGGGGAAGACCAGGGGCGATCGGAGCTCCCAGAGGTACTATGCAGTACCACCCCAGTTTTCGGCCTCTGGGGGCCCTTGGCGTCGGGTTGGCCGTCGGGCTCGGCGTCGGGTTGGGCGTCGGTTTGGGCGTCGGGTTGGGCGTCGTGGTGGGCGTTGGGCTAGGCGTCGGGTACGGCTTCGGGTTGGGCGACATGAGTCCACGACGAAACATGGACCCCAGGGAAGGGGCCGAGCCGACACACGATCGTGCCCGCGGGTTGAACTATAAATCCGTCGAGCGCCCCAGGAAGCACTGAGGTGGCGCTCGCAGTGCGTAATTACTTTGCGCTTGGCGGTACGGTCAGGAACTTCTGGATAGCGTGTCGCTCCGCCGGTTCTGGCCCAACACGCTGAGGCGCGACACGCTATCCACTTCCCAGTCCCCGAGCGCCCACGTCCCGAGCCCTGTGGAGCCTCCCGCCCTGCGGAGCGGAGCGACACGCCATCCGCTCGCAGGACACAGCGTGTCGCCAGGGCCGCCGCTGCGACACGCTATCCAGCAGTTCCTGGCCGTAGACCCCCGGGGCCTTCCCCTGCTGATGGGGTTGGGCGTTGCGTCTTGGGGGGGTCATGAAGTGAGGGGGGGCGAGGGTGGTCCGAAAAGGTACCCAAGCGGTACCTAAACGAGCCCCCTGGGGCTCCGGAGGGGCCCGAAATGGGCACGAGAGGGGACCGCTTCTGACCCCCCCTATTCACAGGGGCACGAAACGGGACCGTTTCTGACCCCCCCCCATTGATTACCCCCCCATTAAGTCCTTCCCGATGAGGATCAGCATCGCCCTGCGCCGGGGGATGCTGCGCCTTCGGCGCTCGGGGCTCTGCACTGCCCGCGGCGGAGGCCGGCCCCGCCCAATAGATGATTTCCATTGGGGGCCTGGCTGTTGGAGCCGTCTGGGGGTCTGAGGTGGCCGAACGCTGGTTCTGGCCTGCGAGACGGCGGGGCGAGAGGTTCGAGGATTTGGACCCGAGCAGTTTTCGTGGTCTTTCTCTGAGTCCGGGGGGCCGTTTTCGGGCCCCGGGGGCTGTCAAATCAGCCTGGCGGAGGGCCCAGCCATATGCAGCTGCGAGTGCCGCGAAGGATATGAGACGGAGGAGGGGGGCCCGCGGTGGCCCAAGCTCCGTGCGCGGCCGTTTTGTCTTCATTTTCTTCCTAGCTTATTCTCCTCTCTCTCTCTCTCTCTCTGTTTACATTGCGCGTGGCATTCTTGGTTTCTCGTTTTGGCTTGAGCCCCGTGCGCGGCCGTTTTGTCTCCAGTTTCTTTCTGTTTCATTATCCTCTCTTTTTGTTTCCGTGGCGCGCTGCCGCCCTAACCACCGTTGCCCGCGGTGGTCCGAGCCCCGCGCGCGGCCTCTTTGTCTCCATACTTTTTTCCAGTGCATGGTTTTCTTTCCCCTTTGCCCTAGCGCCCTGATGGCCGCGGTTCTGAGCGGAGCGCAGCGCGGAGTTTCCGCGACGCGCGCCGGTCGCCCTGGAGGAGTTCCGGCGACGCGCGCGGGTCGTCCGCGGCACTGAGCACAGCAACTCATTGAGCTCGCGCCCAGGCGACCGCGGCTTTGGGCAGAGCACAGCGCGGGGTCCCAGCGAAGCTCGCTGGGTGCCCCGCAGGGGTCCAGGCGCCGCGCTGTGACGCATGCAACCGTTGCCACTGGAGCCTTCGGTGAAGCTCCCTATGGGGCCACGAAGCGTGTGAGGGGTGCGCCGAAATTTGTAGCGCTGGCGCACGCAACCGCTGCCTCTCGAGCCTTCGGTGGGGCTCCCTATTTGGCCAGGAACTGTGTGAGGGGTATGCCGAGTTGGTGGTGTTACGTATGCAACCGCTCCCGGTGGAGCCTTCGGTGGAGCTCCCTACGGGGCCACGAACTGTGTGTGGGGAGTGCCGACATGAGTGGCGTTGACGCGTGCAACCACTGCCAGTGGATCCTTCGGTGGAGCTCCCTATGTGGCCACGGACCGTGTGATGGGTGTGCCGACATGGGTGACATTGACGCATGTAACTGTTCCCACTGAAACCTTCGGTGGGGCTTCCCATGGGGCCGCGAACTGTGTGAGGGGTGTAGAGCGGATTGTGTTGACGCATGCAAGCGCTGCCACTGGAGGCTTCGGCGGAGCTCCCTATTGGGCCACGAACCGCGTGAGGGGGTGTGCCGACATGGGTGGCTTTGACGCGCGCAGCTGCTCCCACTGGAGCCTTCGGTGAAGCTCCTTATGGGGCCACGAACCGTTGGGGGGGGGCGTGCCGACATGGGTGGTGTTGACGCATGCAACTGCTTCCAGTGGAACCTTCGGTGGAGTTCCCGATTTGGCCACGAACCGTGCGAAGGGCGTGCCGAAATGGGTGGCGTGGACGCATGAAACCGCTGCCACTAGAGGCTTCGGTGGAGCTTCCTATTGGGTCACGAACCGCGTGAGGGGTGTGCCGACATCGGTGGCTTTGACGCGCGCAACCGCTGCCACTGGAGCCTTCGGTGGAACTCCCTATGGGGCCACCAGCGGTGTGAAGGGATGTGTCGAAATTGGTGGGTTGACGATGCAACTTCCGACACTGGAGCCTTCGGTGGAGCTTCCCATGGGGCCACGAACTGCGTGAGGGGTATGCCGAGTTGGTGGCGTTACGTCTGCAACCGCTCCCGGTGGAGCATTCCGTGGAGCTCTCTATGGGGCCACGAACTGTGTGAGGGGTGTGCCGACATGGGTGGCGTTGACGCATGCAGCCGCTGCCAGTGGAGCCTTCGGTGGAGCTCCCTATTTGGCACGAACCGTGTGAAGGGCGTGCCGAAATGGGTGGCGCTGACGCGCGCAACCGCTGCCACCCGAGGCTTCGGTGGAGCTCCCTATTTGGCCACGAACCGCGTGAGGGGTGTGCCGACATGGGTGGCGCTGACGCGCGCAACCGCTGCCACTGGAGCCTTCGGTCGAGTTTCCTATGGGGCCACGAGCGGTGTGGAGGGTGTGCCGAAATTGGTGAGTTTACGATGCAGCTTCCGACACTGGAGCCTTCGGTTGAGCTCCCTACGAGGCCACAAACCGTGTGAGTGGTGTGCCAAAATGGGTGGCGTTGACGATGCAACCTCCGACACTTGCGCCTTCGGTGGGGCTCCCTTATGAGGCCATGAACCGTGTGAGGGGCGTGTCACGGCGCTGACGATGGCGATGTTGATGACGTCGATGATGGCGATGGTGACCACGATGATGACGATAGTGATGGCGATGACGGCGCGCGGAAAGCAGAGGCAGGGATGGGATAAGGGAGGAGGGGGGGAAGGAGGCGGGAACGCGGGGCGCCGTCTCTTCGAAACGAGGACCCAACACCACAGGATGGTTGGGAAAACAAGGATCTGGGGTGAACAACTTCACCAGGTGGACCCCGGGAGGGGTCGGGTATAGAGTTTGAACGAATTTGGCTTCATCCCCCTTGCTGGCTTATTTTCTGGGGCCCCAACCAGTTCAGACCCCCCTGCGGCCTCCAAACTGAATGTTGCTCCGATCCGGGATGGGATCGCCCCGGGGGAGGACGGAATGGAACACAGCCTGGCGACGGCATGCCGAGGTTTCCTGGTTTCCTGGGAGGAAGAAGGGGGGGGGGGGGGGGGCGAAAGCTTCGAAGGGAGCATCCGAAGTTTCATCCCACACGCACCTTACCCTGATGGGCGGGCGGACTCAAGAGGCGTACTCCATGCCGTCGGCCCTCGGGGGAGAACCGGGAGAACAGTGAGCAGGAGGAAGAAGAGGAAGAGGATTACCAACGGCAGCACCCAAGTCGAAGAGGGGTGGTGACAGCATGGACATCGGAGGCCCAACCGTGTCCTTCTCCGCTTGGCGTTCAAATATTGATGGCGCCAGTCCGTGGGCCCGCAGAGCGGAGGGTCTGGGTGGTACCCAGGGGGGGCATGCCACGAAAACACCCTATCAGCTAGCGTTGGAGGGGCCTCGTCTGTGGGCGAACGGCCACTTTGACCCGTGTGGGGGTTCCTTCGGGGCCCTGTCGGGACCCTTTTGGCGCCTTTTAGGGCAAATTTGGTTTCCCTTGAGGCGTTTCGGTGTCGCTTGGAAGGGTCCTGGGGGCATTTGGGTGGGGAGAACGATCAAATCGTGTGGGGGCGGTCTTGGGGTCGCACTGAGGCCGTCTCAGTTTGGGGCCAGATTTACGGCATCCTGGCCCATCTCGGTGTCCTCAACAATGGCTCTGCGACCTTCCCTGAGAGCATCTTGGGTCCGCGTTGCGACGAAGCGTCGGACATCCCCTGACACCGCAGAGCTAATTTGCAGTATCTGGAGGCCTCATGCGTCCATATTGGCGCCAGGAGAGGGACAGGAGGAGGACGGGGATGAGGGAGGGACGCGCGGGGATGGGGGAGGAGGACGGGACGGGAGGTACGGGGGATAGGGGGGAGTGGAGGGGGGAAGCGGATGGGAGGAGGAGATAAGATAAGATAAGACCGATCGCGAAGCGAGTTCAAAACGTAAAAAACCCACACTGCCAGGGCATATGCAGTGTGTTGGGAGAGACCTTGTGCACCTCGGCCGCTCCAAACCTCAAACGGCCTAGGAGGGGAGGGGACGACTCAGAGGTGCACGTACACGTCCAACGCCTCCAGGACCGGCCCCCCCCCGAGGGGAGGGGGCCCCCTTGCCACCCGCCAGGCACTCCAGGCAATGGCCGGGGACACAGGACACCCCTCGCCACCAGGCGGGGCACCTGGTGCGAGTCTCGGGGCGGGTGCCCTGGCCTGCTCCCCCCAGTCCCCTTGCCCAAGGGGGACAGAGCAGGACTCCCCATGAGCCCGGCCTAAGCCAGACCCCTCCTCCACACCCTGGCGCGACCGGGGAGTCGCCGGGCCAAGACAGTGGAGGGGACCCGAATCGGCCGCAGCCGAAACGGGATTACCGTTTAGGACCGAAGACTGGGGTCGGTGCCCCCACTGCCGAAACCACCCACCCACCCACGGCACTGCCGTGGGTGGGTGGGTGGTTTCGGCAGTGGCGCAGCCCCCATACAGGCCACGACTAAGCGGGTTTCAGTTCCCCCGCCGGGAGGTGCCGCCCACACGAGCGGATGGGAGGAGGAGGAGGAGGGAGGGAGGCGCGGGAAGGGGGAAGGTTGGGGAAGTGGGCGGAGGAGGGGAGGGATAGGAGGGCGGTCGACTAGAAAAACGTCACAAATCTCGCAAACAAGAAGCCAAGGCCATTGCCCATTGCGAGAGCGGGGCGTTATCCCGAGGAACGTTCCCCCCGAGGCTGGTGCAGCAGGACCGACAGGGTGGAATTAGACTGGGAGCGACGGCGCCGAGGGCCTAGGAAATCCGCAGAGGGGCCGCGGAGGTTTTCGTAGTCGCTTGCTGTTTCGGCCCACGTTTGAGAGTCGCTTGCTGCGCTTTGTCCTGGCATCGCTCGGACGTGCGCATTTTTTCTCGGCGAGGGCCATCGAGGGGCATCCTGGATCATTTGGCGAAAAAAACACGCACGAAACCGAAACACAAACACAGGGAATGGACGTCCGAGCGATGGCCAGTTGTACACCCAGTGCAAGTGGACAGGTCTTTCGGATACGCCTCAGGATGTGGCCACTCCACGGACGTCCCAGGGTGCTCTGGCGCGGATGTCAGGAGACGCCAAGGAGCTCTTGTGTTGTCCCTGTCTGCATGGAGCGAGCCATCCCTCGTTGCTCGAACATGTTGTGAGAGTTGCCGGCCGAACCATATCCCAAACCATACCCCGCGTGGATTGTTCAGAATGCCCGCCATCAGCATGCATACTAGGCATCTGGTGTTGGTGCAGATCACTGCGCGTGTTGCCCTTTTCGTTTTGATATGTTGTGCTCTTGCCATCACACACTGCGGAACCCTCAGGGTGCCAAAGCGAAGTTCTGCACCACCGCTTTCTCATTCAACCAAGGCTTCGATACCATCTACGAGGCCAGCGCGGAAGTGGATCGCGAAGTGGGATTGCAGGCAGTGATGGGCAAGAGTCCAGAGATGGATGGGGAGGAGGGCTCAGGGAGGAGAACGTGTGAATGAGGGTGCAACATCGTCCTCTTACTTCCTGACCTCCTCCTCCTCCTCCTCCTCCTCCTCCTCCTCCCACCCAAGCCCAGTCCTCGCTGCCTTGATGTTCGACTCGCGGAAGGCGGTTGGAGGATGGCAAAGCGCAGGGGCAGGCGTTGCGCTGGACAGCAGGATGGCCTTCCTCGATCTGCCAGAAAGCCACGACCCGCAGCCCGCTTGACCGGTCGACCTCCTTCAGCGCCACCCCCCCCGCGATGCGTTTTCCAGCACCCATCCAACGCGAGTCGCTCTCTCGTGAGACCCCGTGTATGAGAGACCGAGGCGAGCCGTTATACGCAAGTGTCCGCGGCTCCTGGGTGGAAGCTGGCGGAAGCAGACCCGGGGGCGGTTGCCCCAGCCGAGGCCAGCGGAAGGCGGCGGAAGCAACAGGTTTTGGGTTCAGGGTTTCCAGAGCCCGCCATGCGTGCGTGTGTGTGTCTATGTATATCTTGTATATTTATAATTTAATATTTGCAGACGCGTATGTGTATATATGTATATATATGTATGTATGAAGATTCACTCGTGTGAGGGGACGGCGTACCAGCTGATCGCAGGAGACGTTGTTCCGAGGTGAGGGTCTGGATGTCCTGGGGGAACATCGCAAGGGGATGCCCAGAGCAAAGAGAAGCGGCTCGAGGGAGACGACGAGCAGCATCAGCATAAGATGTCAGAGGTCCGCGCGGATTTCTTGGATCGGCGCCGGAACCCCCTCCAAGCGACACCTCCGGCGCCTCCCTTGGCGCGCGCTGTGGGAGGGGGGGGTTCAGCGCGGACCCAAGTGTCGGATGTTGCCAGAGGTGTCTACGGACCTGAGGCGCTCTGGCCTTGGACGTTGGCGATGATGATGATGATGATGATGATGATGATGATGATGATGATGATGATGATGATGATGATAATGTTGATGTTGATGCTGATGCTGCTGATGCTGATGATGCTGATGCTGATGCTGATGCTGATGCTGATGCTGGTGAGGATGGTCAGGATGGTGAGGATGGTGATGAGGATGAGGATGATGATCATGACAATCACTGGCATTGTAATGGTGATGATGATGATGATGATGATGATGATGATGATGATGATGATGATGATGATATGTATTGATGATGCTGATGCTGATGATGATGGTGATGATGATGATGGTGGTCGTGGTGGCGATGGTGGTGGTGATAGTGATGAATGACGGTGACTGTGATGATGATGTTGATGACGTTGATGTTGATGGTGATGATGATTGTGTTGATGGTGATGGTGATGAGGATGAGGATGATGCTGGTTATGATGGTGATGATGATATTGGTTATGCTGGTGGCGCGGATGATAATAATGATGTCGGTGACGATTATGACGATGCTGATATGATGATTGTGACGGCGACGGGGATGGTGATGGTGATGGTGGTGATGATGAAACATTGTGATTGTGATGGTGATGGTGATCGTCATGTGTTGGTGATTGTCATGGTGATGTTGGTGGCGATGGGCATGGGGATGCGGATGGGGATGGTGATTCGGGACTGTGATGAAAATGACAATGAAAATGATGATGATGATGATGATGATGATGATGATGATGATGATGATGATGATGATGATGATGTTGATGATGATGATGATGATGATGATGATGATGATGATGATGATGGTGATGATGATGATGATGATGGTGGTGATGATGATGATGCTGATGATGATGGTGTTGGTGATGGTGATGGTGATGGTGATGATGCTGATGATGCTGATGATGGTGATGATAGTGTTGAAGATAATGATGACGATGGCGATATTTTTGGTGAGGATAATGAGGAAGTGCGCGTGCGCGACAACAAACAAGGCGATGGTGACGACACCGGCGAGTACGATAATGATGGCCGTGTTGATGATAATTATGGTGGTGATGTTGATGACGATGGCACTGATAATCTCGGCGGTAATGCGGTTATTCTGCGCAGATGAGAGTAATGAGGAAGTGCGTGCTCGGAAACAATTAAATTTTCTGGCAAGTCTGCCTTGAAGTCATAGTTACCGTATGTTCAAACACTGAAGGGTTGAAGGTCTCAGAGAAGTAAATTCGCTGAATGTGGCAAACGCCACCAGGTCCCTCTGGGTAAAAAGTCTTCACGAACTCCTGGAACATCTCCAGATTGTATTTGGGCATGTCTATGATCTCCGGATTTGTTTTAGGCTCCAGGGGAATATTTGGAAAATTTTTGGGCTGTAAAGATATCCTGGGACATCTCTGGAACATCTCCAGCGCGCAGTAATTTCTGGGAGATCTCCAGACATTTTCCGGCGTGCAGAAATTTGCTGACATTTCTCGGAAGTTCTCCTCCAAGTATCCAGAACATCTTTGGCGGTCAGAATTCCGTGCAAAAGCTCCGGAAATTATACGGCAAATGTCCCGCGGATATTTCGTTGGAGGCTTTCAGGCGTGAAGATGTTGTTGAGATTCGCCGAAAGATTTGTCTGGCACGAAGAGTTGCTGGAGATTCCCTTGAAGATGATTTTTTGGAGATTGGAGATTCGCTGGAATTCGTGGGAAGATGTTTTGGAGATTCCAGTGCGTTCGCGTTTGCCATAGTCGACCCAGTCGAATTAGATCAAGAACGGGTTTGGGGGG